GCATGGACGGATTACCACGTAGAACCATGACTTTTACGATTATGAAGATGAGTTTGTTTCCTGTTGTCTCGGAAACTGAAATTGGCATCTTTCACTTTTCGTTATCGGTACCTAATCGACATTTCAGATACTTAAAAGTCATGCTGCCAACATATTTGTAGGTAAAATAACTTTTCATGTTGCATTCTGTTTTAGCACTTTTCTGCGAAATGATGACCAATTTTTTGGCTATTCATGAAATTCTTGGAGGAAGAAACTTCGACAATGAATCGATATTTGTTAATTGGCCTGTTTACTGAACAGTTTGAAATAACCGTTATTTGCAAGTTTGGTTTTTGTCCATTACTGCTCCCCTGGTGCTAATTTGTCCCCGTCCCTGTTCAGAAAGGGAAATGTTTGACTACTGCGCTGGCGGATTAAAATGTATACTTCGTCGTTTGTATCCAGGTAATACTTGATGTTAATATATCTATTCCACTCTTTCGTTCTTTGCACGTGGTTAATAGGGCGTTATGTTGTTGGCCTGTTGGCAACAGATTGTAAAGTAATAAAATTTTACTTTTGTTTTCGTCGACGAAAGCGGTACTTTTTTCGCTTTTGCCTTAACATTGTCCAGTAAATTTTATGCCGATTAGTTGTGACTCTGACACTTTTTTCTGCTGTGATTCTTAGTGTGATTAATGAGGTAAAATTCAGACGAGAGTATCCATCTTTAATCTGTTTTTTTCTATTTGGTATTGATTCATGTCTCGAAAATGTTCAGAATTTTCAGTTGCCCATAAATTGCCACTTCGATGGCTGTAGGAACTATGAAACTGGCAGATGGTAGTCTGTTCACGTTCGTGTGTCTAGAATCATGGAAGCGAAAATTTACTGAAGAACACTGAATTGAAATGAGTTTCATGAATCATTTTTAGTTTCGTTTGATGATATAAACCTGAAACTCGAACATGCATTCCGTTGCAGAAGTCTTGTGAGTAAAAGTTAGGTTGGAGTTCTCAGTTCAGTAAAGCACCCTGTTGGAAAAGTTGAATAGCGATTTTGATTACAGCCATGTCGCATTATCCAGATGATGTATCTGTTTGTCGACTGTGTACGCTCATTGTAGACTATGTGGCAGTAGCAGACTTTTAGACATTAGCGTTTTATCAGAATTTGGATATTACTAGTGATTTCTCGCTCACACCGAAAACATTTCGTGTTATTCTGAAAATTTGTCAGTCGTTCATTGATTTTCAGTGCCAGTTATTCCATCCAGGTGGAGGTGGTGTTGAATTTAACTTGTGATATTTTTTGTTTTATTGTTCAATACGCATAAAAATTACATACAGTAAACAATTCAGTATGATTATTATCTTTATAAATCATTTGTATTCTACTTTACTAAGCACACCATGCTGATTTCGATCACCTTACTTGGTCTGTGTTTCATGTTGATTTACAATTTTGGTTTACTGGGTACTTCCTTACATAGTGATTTTCTGTTTCATATTATTTGAAGTTACGCTTTTTGTAATTGCTACTCAGCTGCAGTTTTTAGCATGTGTTTAAAGCCCACTTATACCATAATAAGACATGCGATGAGTGCGAGATACTTCATGTCGTGAAAGTAGAATTTACGAAAATTGTTACTTGAATATTGCTTAGCAGAATAGCTCATTGTTACTGATGAGACTGTGTTCGGGACTGGCTTCTGCCGTTGCTTGGATGTGTTCGATGGTTTAAACTTGAATCGGCTAACCATTTCTGTGTGATACGAAGCAGTGTTGAACTGTTTCGCTTCTTTTTCGGTTATGTGATGGTTTCTGCTAGCGAAAAAACTGTCAGTGAAATCACTCGAGCAGAAAACTTTTTACTTGATAATTTGTCTTTGTGAATAAAACGCCAAGTACCCTCGCAGAGTGTTTTTGGGTAACGGCAAGTAAGGCGTGATGTGAACACAGGTTTGTCAAACGAGTGCGGTAGAGCAGAAGCTAAATCCGTCGTCGGTGATAAAGAAGCTTGTGCTAGTATGAAACTTCCCGAATTTAAGTTTGCGTACGCATGTGCATTCACCAGTGCTCAAAGGTGCATGATGCTAACCGATAAAATGCGATGCAAGATGTCAGCGAAAGAAATGAAGTCACTTTGAAACGTCACTGACGTTTCGACAGTGATTAAACGTTGACATATGGCGATTAGAACGGCTGTCGTTTGTTATCCGTTTGTGTTAGATAAAAGCCACAGTTGCTAATTGTATGGTCATGCGATGAAGATACACTAAGAAAGACTGACAGATGGTTTTTTCATTCAGTTACGTGACAGACGGCCAAATGATAGACGAGTGGAGTATTTCAAACGCCTGACACAGATATACCTTAGATTCCAGCACGGAAGCCATATCTCGTTGGCTGATAAACGGGATCACTGGAGAAACCTCCTGAAGTTACTGTATTTGCAATCTGAAGAAATAAGTGATAAACGAGTGGAGTATTTCGAACGCCTAACATCGATATACCTTGGATTCCAGCATGGAAGCCATATCTTGTTGGCTGATAAACGGGATCACTGGAGAAACCTCCTGAAGTTACTATATTTGCAATCTGAAGAAATGGTGCGCGTAAAATTGATGAATGAATGCGGAGATTAGGCAAATCTGAACCGGTGGTCCACCGAACTGTCTGCATGATCACTAGTAATTCAACGAAGGACTGCAAATCTGCCTGGAATTATGTAGTGCATTCTTTATTCTAGCACTTTCACATGGCTAATCTATTACGGGCAATTTTGAAATAACCATTGAGGATGACAGGAAAACTTAGTGCGCGTAAGTCAGTCGAAACCGAAGCAAATGCTATTAATTAGCCGCTGAAATGAAAGCGGCTTCTTACTATATACCCACAAAAGCATTTGCCACAACGACAGCGAGAGTATAGTCCGGTTATAACGAGGGCATGACTTGCACTTTATGGCACAGCTTTGAACGAATCAAGCAAATGACTATTGGCGGTTAACGGTTTCAGCAATGCAGCGTTACGTCTGTGGACAGAAAGCCACTTAAACTTGCTGTGAAATTATTTTCACCTGGTGAGAGGCGGTGTCGATTGGTCTATCTTCTTGACCAACGTCCAGGCGATAATTTGACTACTGAAGACAACTGTTGATGTGTGATTTGTAATGCAAGGACATCTTTTAAAGCCTCAGATCCTTGGTCAGACGTTGGTGTGCCGACGTATAAATGGCAGAAACGTACAGTGGAAGAACGGATGTCCTGAGCTTATGCGCCAAATCCATTTTATTTCAAATGCCGGTTGAAGTACGATAATATTTCCGGGAATCAAGCCCTTGGTAAAGCGTCATACACAATCCTATCTGGGTCGGTGCATAGTTAAGAACTGAAGTGAAGTGATAAAAGCGTGTTTTGAAGCGTACGGAGTTAACGCAGCTTGTAACGCTCACCGTAAAATCGTGAAGTTCGCCGCAATATGAAGTATGTTTTACCAACCCAGGTTATGATTGTGACTGTTTATTACATTAATTGTCCATGCATTGTCAATTATACTGAAGAAAGAGAATGAAGAAACCTACGGCCTGTATGAGCGAACAATAAAAACCTTTCAACCGTAACAGAACTGGGCACCCTAAAAAATGTCATCTATTGGGAAGCAGATGAAATATCATGAAAAGGATTCAACTGGAAAATTCTGAAAGCTGCCAATGTGGAAAATACAGAAAGAAACGTATAAGATAAACATGTTATGGAATTTGTTGTTTTATGATAATCTTGACTAATAACTATTGCATTGTTTTTCCTTGTTATTGTTTTCTTTTACGCTTTCGTTTGAAACTGCCATAAAAGCTGTTTTGCTTATTTCCTCCAACTGTCTAGTCTTAATACTTTTCAACCAAACCACGTACCTTGCATCGACCTTGCCAGTACGGTTTTCTACGTTCTCTCTATCAGCCGTTTTATTCGTCACCTGACGTAAGTGGTATTTCAACAAATTCGGAAAGTATACAGGAACTTGATAAACTTATTCACATTATTCATACGCTAGAACCATCAGTATGACCGTTATATGAACGCATTTCATGCATATTCCTTAAAATCTGTCAAAACATTTACGCCTCAACTGTGGCATGAGATTGCTTCACGATCATATATCTGTAATATTGCTCTAAACGGGAATCTCACTCTCACCGAGTGGCTCACACCCAGTGGCATCGACAAGTATTTTCGTGCGAAATTCGATGAGCAATCTTCGTATTAACAATGTTTCTCAAGCACCCGGTCGTCACGTCCCATCCTGCGGTCAATAGAAGCACTAATGAATTTAGATGAGACAGGTATCATAGAGTAACCAGAACAATCAATTTCAAAATATTCTTCTGATGCCCCACCGTCATCACAGTCGTTTACTTCCTGGTCAGTGCACTGGCTAATGAGTACGCCTCTATTTCAAATGGCTTAATTTCGTGTGCAACACACGAGCATTTAATTCTTGATCCGGCAGGATATTATGCCGAATCCAAAACATCCAATCATTGGTACCTGCTAACTGTTGGGACACTGGGAAGAAGGAATAGTGTCATCAACGAACGGTTAATAAGCTGAGAGCCATGACAGTATTCTGATTGGATAAACGTCTATTATATCCAGAACATGAAGATACTCTTCTTTAAGAGAAAGTGGAGATTTTTTGTTTAAGTGATTCATGGTTCAGGGAAACAACTGGTGCAACAGTTTATTGCCAACGCGTATCACCGTATGGTTCGCAGCATTATCAGGAATGGGCTGCGTGCCAGTGACTCCTTGAAGGCACTTAATGTCAACAAGGAAACGATAGCGATTTTTCAATTGGATCAATTTATAAAATCTTAACGTTGTTTATCTGTCTGAACAAGGTATAGCATTCACATTAAAATAAATTGGATCTCTGTCATGATTACCTGATTTTGCATATCGGTTTTTGGGAATTCGGCACAGCTTCACTGATGGCAACAAAAGATGTGTATTCGTTACATATCGGTTCCGCAAATCATGTAGTATGAATATTAGACACGCGGAGATTTTCGTAGTCGTACTTATGTTTATGTATCATACGCTTACGTACGTACTTCCAGCTTACACACTGAGGCAAGTGGCGAGGGACAAAATGAAGAATGCTTTCTGGAACAAGCTTCATTCAACTCTGAATCGTCCCTCGCGCCACTATTGTTACCGATAATCTGAACGCTGAAGTACGTCATAATCACGAGAGTAGGTCTCAGGTACTACGACTTCATGGAACTGGCGATGCCGTGATAACGGTGTGAGCTTACTCTGATTTTGCGCATCGCTCGAATTGATGCGTCGAGGACTTATTCCGCACAAGAGGATTCACCAACTTATGTGGAATTGTTACCGCGGCCGTGCCATTACGAAATGTCGTATTTCGGTCAATCGCTGATGGCGCCATTCATTGTCCGGTAAAGCAGTTCACCTCAGCCACGGACATGATAGCGACCATTACATCGTCATTGCTGAAATACGCCTAAGGTTGCTATAACAAAGAAGGAGGTTCCACTTGGGACAGTTGATGTCGACAGGCGGAAACAGCAAGGCATACAAGCCGCCTATCAGCAGAGACGGGAGTACTGATGAAATAAATCACCGAAACCAACGCCATGGATTCAGGCATTGACGTTAATTACCAACAACTACGCCAACAGCTGATTACGGCAACAGAGAAGACCATCGGCTGCAGACGCAGAAGGAAACAACCATCAGGTTTCGTAGAGAGACCTTAAAGCTGAGTGAAAGAAAGAAGGCCGTCAGATAAGTAGGCTTACAACAGGGAACAATTTAGACAAACGCAAAACATTGCCGTTCGGTACAAACTGCAAACGCCAGCTACAGCGGACAGAAACTATTGGATAGCTGTGTGGAAAACCTGCAACAAGCGGCTGGTCGATGTGATGTTGGATCGATGTTCAAAGGGCTATTACTGTTGACCGGGAAACGCTCTGCCATTGCGGCACTAATTCTAAGCAAGCGTGATTGAATCTTGAATGAAAAAGATGTAGGGCTATAAGCGTGGGCTGAATATTTAAAGGTGCTTCTGAATGCCGCTGATCCGTTTGAAGTCCTGCATATCGACGGAATCCCTTCAGAAGCCTTGTAGCCGTGTAGGAACCCCCTTCAGAAGCGAAATTCTGTCATTCTCTCAGCGCATGAATGATTGGAAAGGACTTAGCTTCTTGGAAAAGCTGATGACGTGGGGTGGAATCTCGGTGCTAAAAGCGCTAGCGAAATTCTGCCGCGAAATGCTGACCTGCTCTCAAGTACCGACTAACTAACTGGTAGAGAGGGAATATAATTTAGACATTTTTCAAGGGTAGGATCAGTCGGATGTTGCCCATTATCGTAGACTTACACAACAAAGCAATACTGAAACATCTGTGATAGGATCTTTCATGAGCGATTGCAACACGGGGTCGAGAAAAGTTGACTAAAAACCAGGTACGAAGGAGCCATTCTTGCAGCGTAATTATGCAACAGTGTCAGAAGTTTCAACTCTAGTGGTACGCATCGTTCGTCGAGTTCAAAATTACGTTTCACTGCATTCATTGGCGTAAGTTCTGGAACATGTTAAGGCGCTTAGGTGCTCCAAACAAAGTCATCGACATCATGGAGGAATTTGAAGCTGGTCGATGTGAGGTAAAAGATGAAGGCGCCCTTCCAAAATGCTACACTGTGAGAAACTGTTCACCATAGTTCTTGATTACGCGATAAAGGAAAGCGTTGACTATCATTCGGAAAATGGCTTGACGGTGAGCCAAATTCACAGCTCTAAGCACTCAGTTGTATACTTCACTGCCCTCGATTGCGTCAACGATATCATTTTGCAAACCCAAGCATCAAATGAATGACAAACGCCAACGGAACTGGTTGAAGCTTCTGCTGAAAGAATAAAATTTTATAAAGTTTGTCAAAGCGAAAATGTAAGGAAGGTTGAAGCATCAGGGACAACGGATTGTTGACCGAAACCGATCGCTCTATATGTACTAATGACAGCCACTCTGACGCTACGTGAACAAGAAAACTGCTCTAGCGGAATAATTTTGCGTCCGCAGAGCATATGAAAAGAAAAAATGAACATGAGCTCGTTCTTAATCTTCCAAAATTTTTATACATCTTAAAGAAAGTGGTATCACTAAAAACCAATTAGGTTCGACTGCATGCCTAAAATGTCGGAAGGTCCTGTCTGTCAACAATTTTCGAGAGTGATCTCTTGCAGCAAGAACTAAGAATCGCATGGTTTGATAGGGCAATGAAAAGCCGGCAAAACGCCGTTTCCTCACTTAATTCTCGTAAGGTAACCCACACAAACAAGCCGCTATCATCACCACCAACATCAAATATAGAATAACATGAATGATGCTGACTACTGTGCCTAAGGAAAATTTTCTTCACGGAAGCAGTACAAGCCCAAAATTATATCAGTACGCCTGCCGTTCAAGGACGTCATAACTTTATGAGCACAGCCTAAACGATGTTGAGACAGACACACGAATGGTTCTAATCTACCCTGAAACGGATATGTTCCAAGATCTTAATTCCAAAACTGTCCTGGAAGGCCATCTAAAGACTGGAGGCATTTCCTCAGAGGTCTGTCCTTGAACAGACTTTCCATTCGCTTTGACCATACAACGACCTTATCAGTCACTACGGCAAATCACGAATGTAAAATCAGTCGATACGAAGCCTAAGCGAATCATTTTGCGTACATTCAAAGATCACTGAAATGACTTCAGCACAGTAATAACTGTTCCACATTTGCGGACAACTCTCGACTTCTCCATGTAGCCGTGTTCTGTGCTGCCTGAGCGTCATTTTACATGTTTCAGAACGTCGCCGAAAGCGTGCTTCAATCTGTACTAATCAATGTATTTACAAACTCTATTTCGTAACCGTCTATTTATGAAGATCAGCATTTCTAATTGCACGGTTCGTCCTCACAACAATTAACAACACAACAAAGTGTGAATGTTCAAAACTAGAAACAACCTATGATAAAAAGAATCTGACTGTCACATTCGGGGTAAGCAAAGGCATTGCCTTCAAAGACCAACATGTGCAATACATCAACTGTGAAACTTACGTAGTGCTGTTGGCCTGATTCTTTGTCATGGCAAAGAACGCCACGGCTTAAACTCTCTCCAGTGAATAAATCGTAAACTATCAGGTGACCTCCATGGAAGTACGCCAGTTAGTAGCATCACTAAGACTACACCACAACTCCATACGTCAGCACGCGATGGATCATATCTGTTATGCAAAATTTCAGGCGCCATGTACGGTCGGGTTCCGCAGCAGGTTCGAAGCTTTATTGGGATTCCGAAATGATCGCGGAACCTTTTCGCGAGTCCAAAGTCGCATATCTTTAGAACATCTAAAACGAACGTCAAGATATTAAAATACTTTCTTGGTGGATAAAGAGTACCTGCATCACGTTGGCTAAATACACTAAGCGTTGAAAGCTATTCTATCCAAAATGGAAAGATCTCTGCAAACTTACATTTCAATTCCTAATACCGGATTTATATGGGGAAATCAGGTAATAATCGGATCGCCTCCGGGGACCATTTGAGCATATTATTGCACCGCGGTATTTAAGAACCGCGAATCATATTTCATCGTCATCATACTTTTTTGTCATCAACTTTAATTTAGACAGATCTTTCAGTTCACATGTAACATTTTAACGTTTAACGTTCAACAGTTATAAGTAATATCTTTACCCTGAATAACTTTTAAATTCGTATCGATACTGTATCATGGTGACCTGACACTGATACGTCTACCGATTCGACAGTTAGTGGCAAGAAAAATAAGAAAAAGCCGTACAAATGTTTTTCTCTTGTTTTTTCGTCTTCCTGTACCAGCTAACCATTGAATCGTACGATGTATGTCCTCATTATTTTCTGTGATCTGGCTTGGATGCATGAACAAGCAGCTTTCAGTCACTCGCTTGTTTTCTTGCTAAGTTAAAGAGGTGTCACACCAGAAATGCCAAATCTTTGCACAAGCTGCAGCGAAAAACTTAAAACCAAGATATTAAAAGACGAATGCTAATAAGATGTACCGCATGCAAAAAGTGAATGTGCTTGGTTCTGTCAATAAGAAGTTCTGTCATTTTCTGATCGCTTCATATTCTTGATATTTGCTATCTCTGACAAAAAATATCAACCAGCTTTTAATCGTGTTCTGGCGAGCAATAATCCAGTCTTGTAG